TATAAACATGTTTGTGAAGAAGCCATCAATAGTATAAATGACATATGACTAAAGATTTTCCAAATCTTTTTCAATTGAATAACGATAAGTCATGATTCAGTCAGACTGAAGAAGAGTCATTCCACTTGATATCCTATCTGCTGAACCCAAGGAAGCCCATCTCTATTACTAGACAGGCCCTGGCCAAGCATATTCCTGAGTTTCAGATTCAAGAGTTACTCCTGCGTAGGCAATACCAGTTCAGATCAGAGACTAATTTGCTTCCTCAGTGCATGTTGTAACATGCAGCTGACAGTCTCCTCTGAAAGTGCACGCAGGTTGCACATGTAAGTAAAGATCTATGAATTTGACTGAGGTACTGGGTTGAGGGAGGAAAAAGTAAAGAGAATTATCTCTCTCCTAGTCTACTTTTTCCCTTCTCTTTATCTCCAACATCCCATAAAGGAAACATCAAAGAAAGATAACCACACAGCATTAAGATTTCCACTAGTTTGTTATTTATGCATTCATTCAAAAAGCAACGTGGAGATACTAAGACATAGTCTTTCTTCTTGCCTAGTTTTATCGATTCTAGTACTATACTCTTCTTTGTACATGGAATTTACAGAGAAGAATTTCTCATGTCCCATAGTGAAATGGCACCTAGGGCAATAGTACTCAAAATAGCTTGTTTGCGAATTATTTTCTGTCCATGAAGCTAAGGAGCATATACAGGTATGAACTAGTGCCTTAGGTTCCTGAAGTTGCATGAGAAGTGACATAAGTAAAAACTGGCATTGACACAGAAGTAGTACTGTGGTCTTTTTTCCTAGATAAGTAGGCAACATACTGAAGAACCTAGTTTTCTTTTTTATTTTTATTTTTTATTAAACCCACTTAGGTTGCTTTTTGCAAGAGAAAAATGAGGGGATAATTTAGGGCAGGAGGTGGAGAATGGTGACATGTTATGTTAGGAAAACCTTCTTTTGCTTGAAGTAGACATTCAGAGATAGTCACCTGCCCAAGATTATATGATCAATAAGAAAATAAGCAGAGGTAGATTAGAATGTTTTTGACCATTGTTTTATATATTTTTTATTACATGGTAGTTATAAGTTGGAAATAGTCATGAAATAAAACTTAATTGTACAAAAGTTATGATGTCTGCTGTAACTTCAGAAGATAAAGCATGAAGGGATTTGACATTGATATTGGAATTCAGGCAGCTCAGCTTGTGCAGTCACAAATCGACTCCAATATGTAATGATCGGATGGTATCATAGGAATATATTCTTTGTGGTTTAAATTATAGTTCTGCAGTAAACATAGAGGAAAGTGGGTGGGATGGGCTAGTTATCCTATCAGTGATGTTTGCTAATCTCTTCTGCTCTATCTAGAAAAAGTAAACAATGTAAATAAATCATAAATTTTAACAATAAAACACTTCCAAATTAAACCTATATCTCTGTTGCTCAAGAGAAACATAAAACAAATTGCTACTAGAAAACAGTTCTACATCACTTGACATTTAATTTGAAATCACTGATCTTCAGGTCAGCAACAATTAGGCGCTGCTATCAGCCATTCATCATAAATTAAGAAAATTACCTACTCCCTAGAGAACTGGGTAGAACAAGTCAAACAAAACCAACACTGTTGAGAGCAGACATTTTAAATATACATTCAAGAACCACCTTAGTTATGTAGTGCTATCACTGTTATATAAAAAAAGTAGTGCTGATAAATAGGGTTCAGTAATTATTCATGTTTGTCAAAGAAAATGAATATCTAAAACACACATATATGTAAATGGTTCATGAAACAGGAAGACCTATGGTTTGTAACTTCAGACACAGTTGAAAATAACAAGGCAGTCATTTGTTAATTGCATGGATTTGAATCTACACATAATTTATTATTTCATTAACTCTTCCCAATGGAACCATAATGGAGTTAACATGAGACATTCTTTAGAGCAAAATGTGAATCTGTCACTAACTCAGCAAGTAAATTCTAGAGAGTTAACTTTGAAAAAGTTAAAATCCCTAGAAAGAAAAACAGCAAAGTAAAGGAAGAGAAGGTAATAACTGTAGAAGTTAATGTTGCTCAAGTGTCCGTGATCTGGGTACACATACAGTATGATTATTTGAGAGTCCTCAGAATGTGGAACCAAGAAGTGAGCTTTGAATAAATTAGCATCAACTGGGAATTAGAGTGTGTTAGTGAAGTCATGCTTTTAGGAGTTGAAAATATGCTTTGATCTCACCTCATGTAGAATGTTATATTAAGTTTTTATGGTGTACTGGTAACATATACATATGTCTTCTAAAAGATAACTGTTAAGTTTTAATGAATTTTCCTGCTTGCAGAAAGTTGGTCTTTTTTCAAGCTGATGATTGACACTCTATGTAGTTATGTTGTGAATAAATAGTATATTGAACTAAGCCACTATTTTCTCAGGAGTTTGGTCATCGCAGTGATGTCTCCTTCCATTTAAGAGTTGTGGAAGGATGCAACCAAAAACATTATTTATTAGTAAAACCTTAATGTGAAGAAATAAGTAGTTCAAAAGAAAGCAGAAGAAATAGTTGCCATTGCTCCTAATCTAAAAGTAATTTTGATTCACTTGGATAAAGATGTAATTTTATTTTACTTGTGTGTGTGTGGGTAAGTTCACTGATTTTAGAATACTTAATTGGACTAGTATCTTTATTCTGACACTGGTACAATCCACAATCTAGACCACTGGGAAGAACTCTCCAACCATGGAGGCTAATTTAAGGGCACTGCATTTAATGTACAAAATGACCTTGACATTGTTTTATATTTAGACGATTTTTTTTTTTAAATCAATGTAGTAGAACAAGGTCTACTTTCTGAAGAGGCAAAGGAAAGATCAGTTACTAATTTTATTGAGTGCAAATTTTGGTCACATCCTAAAATTACATATTACAGTGGACTTGACTTTGAGCAGGACATTTGTAACATAGACTATTATAGAATGACATTTAAATGATACACTAAAACTAAGGGAAGACAAGTTAGATATGTTTGGATTTAAAATATAATTGGAGTTGAAAGAAAATTTCCTTGGTTGCACAAGCTAGACTCAATGAATGTAGTACCCTCTCTCTTTCAAAATGTTTGCTGTGGAAGTAGTAGTGACAACAGTGATTTAAAATATGTTTCTGGATTGAAGCACAGAAGCAAATGTGCTCAGCAGAGTATTTGTTTTATAGTCAGCTTGCAAGGGTTTTCCCTGGAGGGCTTTATTGTCTCAGTGGTCTTAAAGACTTGAAGCTTACTGATTCCGGATGCCACTTCATGATTTTTCTTGCTCCCTTGTTTTAATGTGCCGTGTGCTGCATGCATCCATCACGGTACAGACAACCTCTCCTCCACCCAAGGAGCTCTCATTTTGGGAGACAGTCTTGTATTTAAGACTCTTGCCAAACAATCTGCAAATGGAAAGGCGTCTGGAGGCTGTGACTGCTATTGGCAACTTCTGAAGAATTAGACAATAAAGAAGTCAGTGCTGCTGACTTCTGCATTTCATTAGATCTGATTCTGCATATATATTAATAACGATTCTCTTGATGGATGCAATTTCATGTTTCCAATGCTTTGGCCATGGGTGGTATTGTGCACCTGTATTTTCCATCTGCTGCCTACAGTCATTCCGATTTGAGTGACAGAAATATTTTAAATAAGAGTTAATTAACCTGCACCCTGAAGATCAAATCTCTATACCTGGCCACTAAGTGGGAATCTTCTGGGAAACTGCTGAGAGTAATTTGTACTTGGCTTTCTTAAGATTAAGAATGCAAGATTCATTTTTCTAGAAAAAAGAAATCTTTAGTACTGTCTTGATGTTTTATGCATAGATGCTATCAAACTTCTCACTTGCATATTGCCTTTACTCAATTTAGTCCTTATCTGAGGATATATATATATATATATATATATATATATATATATATATATATATGTATTTTTTTTTTCCAAAAAGGGGAAAGTGAAATTGATGCAGAATAAGAATCCTCCTGGATCTGGACTCTTATTGTTACACTGATGGATCTTTATCAAACCTCAGAACTTTCCTTAATTTCCAGGTCTTTAAAATGGGTCTGATTAACTATTTTGATTCATAAATACTTTGTGTAAGATTTATTACTACATGATATTATGACAGACTTAAAAAATACTGAAAACTTTCATTGCTTAAAGGATTGTATCCTCTGCTTAAATATTTATCTTTATATAAGTACTTGTCAACAGTTAAGTTTATAAAATATAGTGTTTTTTAACCCGGAGGAAACCAACTCATGAGATTACTGTTTCTTTATTCTTAGCCAATGAGGGCAAAAACAGACTCTTGGCAACTGCATGTCTACATTTCAGAGAGAAGGAAGGTGCAAAGAAAAACTCACCCAGGTCTCCCTATCTACTTTATGTTGTTAGATAATGCAAAGGGTTCCATTACACAAACCTGACCACTTTTTACCTATCACTTTTGTACTAGTTCCACATTTAGTTCACTCAAAGAAATTCTGAGGAATGTGTTTTCTTCCTTAGGCCATTGTCTAAGGAGCAGAAGCATCTTATGAAGAGGTCAAAAAGAGCAGATATTGCTTTTTCTGTCCCAGGCTCTGAGTTCTTTTTGGGATTGTAGACTAGCACTTACGGTCCCCCCCCCCCAGGCTGCCAAACCTTGGTCGCTGTCCATGGTTCTGAGCCTCGACTTTCACTAGTTGGTCAAAGGTCTTTCCGTGCATTCTCACTTCACTTCTCCGGCAGGCAACCCCCACCCCACATTATATTTCCATCTGCACTTAGAGTGTTTTGTTTTACTTCCACTGACTCCCTTCTATCTGACAGCTACGGACACAGTCTGATCCTTTCACAGCACCAAAGTTACAAGCCCTGCCAACTTCTCCCAGTTCTCTCCGTCCTCCTGGCCCCGCCGGGGTCCTGATTCCTATGAGCGCACACCTCCACTCCGCGCGAGGGACTCCTCTCACCTGACTCTCCCGCGGAAACTCACGGCGCACGATGCTGATCACTGGGATGTGTAGGGCTGAGCTGACCAAGTCGAGCTCCATCATCTCGCCCTGGCTCTGGGGGAAGGCCAGCAGCGCCGACACCCCTTGCACCACCACTGTGTGGCACACGCTCTGCAGAAAGGAGAAAGGGTCACTGCTCCACGGCGAGCTGGGCGAGGAGAAGGGCAAAAGCGGCAGGTCACCCAGGCCCGCCTCGATAGCCATCACTACTTCCAAAGACAGGTTGTAGGGCAGCAACCCTTCCACGCGGTTCAGGTTGTCCACGGCGAATAAGAGGGCGTCCCGTGGCCACAGAGTCTCGGCCCTGGAGTCCTCTCCGGGCTTCCGGGCGCCGGGCGGTAACCGGCCATGCAAAGCACTCCCCAGCCGACGTGCGCCCTGAGGGGGCGCCGGGGGTCTCCAAGTCCCTGGCTCCGGCTCATCTCTCTGAGCACCCGCCCGGCTGCCGTCCGGAGCGCGGCTGGTTGAGCGTGGGGCTGTGGTCCAGGGCTGTAAGTGCACCGCGCCCACCCGCACAGCGTGGCCGATGCGCTTGAGGATCTGACACGGCTGCGGGTGCGAGGAGGAGCCGGGCACCCCGGCCAGTACCAGAGCACAGGGCGGCGGCAGCAGTAAACAGACCCTGCTCAACAGCCACCACAAACTCGGTCTCCTCATTACTGAGACCCGCAGGGAGAAAGCGCGCCCCCTCCTGCTCCCGGCTCGCCCCTCTGCAGCCGCCACCTGAGGTCCCCGCCTCCAGGTCCCGAGCGCCGCTTCACTAGGCGCGACGAAGCGCTGCAAGGAGCTGGAGCGGTCTCCGGGCCATGCAAGTTGGAGCCTAGCGCGCCCTCGGCAGTCTCAGAACAGCTCCAGGGTTCCTCCGTCCTGCATCCCCCACCAGCCTGGTCCCTGCACGGAGTGGGGCAGGGGAGCGGGCCAGCGCGTGTCACCCGCGGCTTGGGCGCCAGTTCTCAGCTTGCCCCATCTGCAGGGCTCCTCGGACACTGCGTCCGAGCCCACGAGGCGGCTGGGCTAAGAAGCAGCCAGAGTTCCAAACAGGCCGGGGCGACAGAGGAGCAATGCTGTTACTAGGATGGATTATTTTCCTTTTCGGTCCTGAGGGCGCACTGGAGGCGATTCACGCCTGGGGGACGGAAAAGAAGGAACCAAATTCGCGTTTCTCCACTGTTGGCCGCCGTCTCGTGGGCTCACCCAGCGCTGGCTTCATTTTCCGTCTGTCCTCGTTACTTCCACTCTTCTTTCCTGTCGTTATCTTCCTGCCCAGCTGCCAGCGTCACTCGTTTCCTCCGAGGAGCGTCACGACTGGCCAGCAAAGGGTGGTTCTGCTCCGAGCGCCAAAGTTCTCCCCGCCTCAGCCGGCTCCTCCCTGTTGCTGAGCCCTGGCGCCAGCCTGTCGCTTGGCTGCGCTAAACGCCCACTGATGGTGAGATTCCCGGGCCGCACCTCCCGCGCCCCGGAAAGTCCTCTCCTCTCAAAGGTTGCAAGTCCTTAGTTTGCAAAATTCCCCGAGATCTGAGAGGACCAGAGGCTCTTAGAGGCGGAGTATTCTGAATTCTGAGTCGCGTTTAGGACTTAGAAACCAGCGATTGACGAGAGAAGTAAGAAAGAGGCTGTGACTTTAAGGAGCTTCTCTTCAGTGTGCAGCTGCGGGGAGGGCTTTTCTAGTTAAAGGTATTAGAGCAAGAATTACTTACACATTTAATCTCCTCTGCTTTCGTCTCTCTGGCATATAGACATTCCCATTTTCAAAATATCCTTGTGGTTTCTGGGTTCTCAGAATAAAAACAAAGTGAACCCAAAGCAATGATTGAAGAAATTAAAGTGATTGAAAATACTTTGAGAGTTTCAAATAGCCTGCGGCAGTTCCTAGCACGGACCAAAGTCCCCAGGCAACAATTTCTAGTAAGTGATCTAATTTGTATGGCAATACAGTGAGGTCAGTGGGTGTACGAGCTAATCATTTCCTCCGTGATCAGAATAACCTGGCACTAGAAGGAAAGGAAAAGGTTAAGGGCAGTCCTGTGGTTTCCACACATACAGGAGACTATTTTATGTCGCAGTATCTTTCAAGAGAGTGTGAGAGATACTAGGGAATCAGCAATTCCAAATCCAATACTGCTTCAAGAGAATGTGACCTTGGCAATTTATTTCACCTGGCTTTGCCCTGCTCTTTGGAATTGCTAAATTGTTATGCAAATAAAGTGAGCTTTTAGCTCTGGAGAACTGTTTTGATTCATGAGCTAAAGTTGTCTTTCTTCGTGCTTTATGTTTAGGATGAAGAAAAACCTCAAGAAGGTTGCCAACTGAATGCTGTTTCCCTCAGCATAAAATGGGTTGTGCAAGACTGAGGTGCCAGAGAAAAGAAGGCACTGGTGGGGGAAAAGGAAAATCCTTGTAGGGGCCGACTAGGAGAAAAAACCAGACACTCCAAGGCCTGAGAGCATCCTAGGAATGGGAGAGATCTTTATGCAGGAATTTATCCAGCAATTTCCTGTTGTTCACAGGATTTCACTGCTTGATACTTGACCAAGAAAGTGCACAACTCTATTGTCCTCGAGTTGCAAGAAGAGAGGCGATCTGATCATTGGGTAGTGAGGAAAGTAGTCACCTGCATTTGAGCGTGTGTGCATCAGGGTGTGTGGCATTCCAGGTTGGTACCATGCCTTGGACCTTAGGGATCATGGTATGTGGCATAGCACATGCACTTAGACCAGGCTCCTAAGAAAATAAGGATGAGGAACAGTTGATCTGAGCATGCATGGAATCCTAGAGTCACCGTGTATGTTTTAGCCCTCTCGCAAGTGCAAGAAGCACTTGTGAAGTGCTTCTTTGGAAGAACAGTGCTCTCTCTCTCTCTCTCTCTCTCTCTCTCTCTCTCTCTCTCTCTCTCTGTGTGTGTTTCTGAGCTTTTGAATAAGGCATCTTTCTGTCTTCCATTTGTTGTTTGGGTCTTCTTCCAAGTCACTATGGCCAACCAAGCATCTCTGCCTTTCTTCATTTTCTCCCCTTCCCCCTCCCTCTCTCCACCTCCCTTCTCATCTCCTCTCCTCTCTTTCTCTCCTTCATCCATGCTCCAAAGCTCATAGAATTCAAAGTTACATTAGAGTCAGTCATCAATTCAACAACCAATCTCTAAAGTCTTACCAAGTGTGGAGCATTACCACTGAGATGTCCTGGATACAGATTAATAGACAATAGTCAAGTAAAATTGAGTTTTTTCCCCTCTTCAGAAAGTCACCCAATTCATGCCTGAACAAAACACTAAGCTTATATTACCTTGGAGAGACAGACAATAAAACACAAAATAAAATATGTATAGTTGGTACTATGGAGAAAAATAATGTATTAAAGAAGTATTAGGAGGAGGACGAGTTGTAATTTTAGATGGAAAATCTTTCTGAAAATATGACTTTTGAATTAAGACCTAATAGGAAAGTGAGGGAGTAAGTTTTGAACATATATATTCAAGGAGTTTGAAGCAGAGAAAAGGAAGAAGCAATTGTGCTAAGATAGGAGTATTTCTGAAATATGTGAGGAATAGTCCAGAGTGACTGGAACAAAATGACCCAGGGGGTGAGTGGCCTATCAAGTGGCTTCTCAGGTCAGAGGGGAAATGAGGTAACAGACAGGATAAACCAATCATAAACTTCAGCTTCTTCTCTGAAGGAATGAGGAGGTGTGAGGGCAGGAGATTGAGCAGAAGAGTGACAGAGATAATGTCCTAAGAGGACTATTGTAACGATACTGCTGATTGTAGGTGGGAGACAGGAAAACGTGGAAAGCAGGAGATTTGACATGAGGCTTTTGCTCTAATACTGTGAGACATAACAGTACTGCCAAATTATAGCAACTTTAATAGGCTAATGTGATTTCCCCCTCTAATGAATGGGAGATTGAAGTTGAGGAAAAGTCGAGTTATTTATAAAAAGTCATCACACTGTGAGTAGCAATATGGCTTTAAAGTTTTAAATTCATCCCAACTGTACTAGTTGTTGCACATATCAGCTACATTTCAAAATTGAAGCTTTGCTTATTTTATGGTTATAAATGAGGACTGCTGATCTAAGAACACATGCTGGAGAGCGAAACAAATGAAAGCAAACACAAATGCTCACAGTTTAAAATACGCTTCTGTGCACATTTGCAATTTTTGGTACCAGCGCTATTGCACTAAAGCTGGGATACTGTGGAGGATGCCCAGGAAAAGCTCTGGCAAAAGGTGCTGTGTGATGGGGGCTTGGATTCTGTACGAGGGACTTACACGTTCCGGGTTTGGTGTGGTGTTGTGGTGGCCCTCCTGACAGCTGTCTCCCTGGTCATAGCAGTGTGTAGACTCCTGCAAATGTTTCAGGTTCCTTGAAAATGGGGGACTTCTTGTTGTATATTTAAATTTTCTTTTTTTCCTCTTATACTGTGACAAATTTCAAGTTGGGCCCATAAGCCACTTTCTGTTTTGTAAGTGGCAATGATATTCCACAGCATGTCCCCATTTATGGGTTAGCCTTCTATACAGTGATAACTGTATTGGTTTTTATCAGCATGCAGATACAAAATGTGCTCAATCCCAAGCTAATGCGTGGCTCCCATTATGCCTTCTCTCATAACATCATCTTGGTTTCTCTTGCTAGAGACTTTGTGTTTATGACAATCTTTCTGAATAAAAGCAGTTATAAACAAAAAATAAGTGGAACTTGCAAAGAATTTAGGATAATATAATTTTAGGAATGAATAAATATAGAAAGAAATCTAATTTAGTTTAGCAAAAGAGACCCTGTTCATTCATATATCAAAAACCTGCTAATTCTCCTTGCATTTCTCTAATTTTTAAAAAAGAAGCACATATTTGCTCAATAGTGTACAACTTTTTTTGGGCAATAATCATTCTATTTAAAAATACAAATACTTTCTTGGTTACAACACTATCAGGCCATTGATCATTAGTATAAATTATTTTTCCATGAGTTTTGCAAAATTAATATTTTGTTGGGAATGAGGGCAGGGAAAAAGTTCATTTTGCATTATAAAAGAATTATTTAAAAATGCAAAAATAGAATTTAGAGATATGAGAGAGAGAGACTTTAAGGTAGACTTATAACAATGTGCAAAAGTGTGAAATCTTCATCGTTCTAGGGCTTTTATCCTGAGTGATATCTACTCACCCGAAACACTACATACATGATTCAGGTAGGAAATCACTAAAAGAATTTTGGTTAACCTGCGGTATTTAAAATAGAAGAAAAAGGAGCACTAGAAACTAAGAAAATGGGGTAAAGAAAAGAAACCAAAGTTTGAGTCTCTAGTCAATTCAAAATCTTCCTTAAGTTTGGCCTTTGTGTTGGAAAAGAGAAAGAAAAATGTCTGCTGTTTTGTACCATCTGATTATTTACACCCAGAAAACCAAATTTAGATGAGGACTATTACTTACCTATAAATTTGAAAGTGCCAATGTTTGTTTTCCTTTCTTCTACGAAAAAGAATGTTGTGATGTTCTCATTGTAGATGTCGCTAGGGGAATGAGTTATCTGCTGTGACAAGAGCCTGGCCTTTTCAACAGCCACCAGGATTATTAGCTGAGTGTTTGAGTTTCCTGATTCCTTCCCAGAGCCCCAGCCTAGGGAGCTCAGATGGGGCTTGGAGAGGATGCCATGGCAGTCACTCTCCTCCTCACTTTCTCTTTTTCTCAATAATCATTCCAACCTAGTCTTGATCCAAATGACTTATGGAATAAAACTTGGCCCGTCACAGACTGTGACATTTTTAAAGGACTTTTTCATGCTTGATTTGTAGCACTAGCTTTCTATCAGCAGCCAAGAGAATTTGGAAATTTTCTCAAAGCTCTTTGTCTTCTGAATCTCAGGCATAGCATCTATTTTAATTTAAAAAAAATATATATATATATCTTTAGAAAGAGAAACTGGGGAAGGTGATCAGATGCTCAACAACTATGAAATAAATCTTCATTATTTTAGAGCTTTTATCCTGAGTGATTATGTGCCAGGCAATTTGCATATGTGAGCTCTTCATTTTATGAATACATTGCTATCCTTAGGTTATAGATGCTGAAACTGAACTGGAAGGCAAACCTAGACTTGCTCTTCTTTCTCCCAAGACAAGCTTTTGTTCATCTGCACTTCTGGTGTGAATGGAGGCATTGTGGATAGGCCTGGCAGGATGAAGACCATTATCAGAATAGTGTACAGAGATAAAGGTAATTCTATAGTTATTTGATTATTACT